AGGAAAGGAAAGGAAAGGAAAGGAAAGGAAAGGAAAGGAAAGGAAAGGAAAGGAAAGGAAAGGAAAGGAAAGGAAAGGAAAGGAAAGGAAAGGAAGAGAAAAACTAAAAGAAAAGAAAAAAGAGAAAGATATTCCCTGTTTGTTAGGACACCAGTCATTATTTGAGAATTTCTATCTGATCTTGGCTATTAATGTCTGATTACCTCTCTCTTATATTAAAGCCTTGGAATATAAGGGGAAGATGTTATTATTTCATAACTGGGGCAGTCACACATTAAGATGTGTGATTCTGTAGCACACACAAGACTCTTTAGTAACTATCCCAGTATCCATATTTTTTCATTTCAAGAGCCCATGAAATAAAATTCACATCTGCAGTAAACAAGAAATACTTACAGTCTTTAAGGAGGATACAAGTGTTCTGTAACATATATTTTATTTAAGTCCTCCTAGTCCTCATAATTATTCTGTTTGTTTTTCCAAATGTTTGCTAATTTTATACTTTTAATTCTATGTATTTGGAATATAGCGTATCCAAATCTTTGTCAGTTATGCGTACAACTTTAAAAAAATGCTTTTCCAGCAAAGAATGATGGATGCCAGTCAATTTCATTTGCTGCTGCCTTTATCTTTTTGTTTAAATGTTTAAAACCACTTAATAGCTGAAGCTCTCTGGGGAGTTTACAATAAACATATTGAAAGAAACAATTTAAATAAAAATGTATACCATCAAATCAAATGCAAAATGAGAACACCATACAAACTAGGCAGCAGCAAGGCAGTTATCCAAAATCTAAAACAATACAAATTAAAAGCCAGTTAAAAGCCAGTTAAAAAAACTGTTAAAAAAACAAAAAAAAGTAGTTTAAAAACCTAAAACCAGTTTAAAAAATCAATTAAAAAACCTAAAAAAAGGAGATCAGGAAAATTGGCTTAAAAAGCTACCTAATTATTTTTAAACATTTACATCCTTATCTCTAGTTTATTAATCTGATGCATAATCAGGAACACTTGGGAAGAGAATCTGGCCACCAATTCTCAGATTCTAAGAATTGGGCTACCAATAAATTAAAAATATCAGAAATAAAATAAATAGAAATATAAACTGAAGGTTGGCTATGCACAGGACTGGAGGAAGGAAAAATACAGAAGCCCTGATACTCATTTGAGAATAATATAGTATCATTCCATAAACTCAAGACTTTGGGCACATTTGCAAACAACAGATATGATCTGAGTACCACGAATTTCTGAATATAATAACGGGCAATTGGGCTATGCTAGCACTGAGCTCCTCTGATTAAGCTGTCATGAAGTATGTGTAATTTTTTTAAAAATTCTATCTAGAAATGAAGTCTGCTCATGAGCAGGAAAAAAGAGAACTTGAAGAAAATTTTGAAAAGTTGCGCTTGTCACTCCAGGTTAGTACTTTATTCATATGCTGGTCACAAATGTTGCTTGTTGTATTATGTGTGTCTCCTGGAAGAGCAAAATTCTTCCAGCAGTTCAAAAGCAGAAGCACGAAACAGCCTCTAAGGCAGCTTTTGTCAACCTTGGCAACTTTAAGATGTCTGGACTTCAACTCCCAGAATTCCCCAGCCAGCATGCTAGCTGGGGAATTCTGGGAATTGAAGTCCAGATATCTTAAGATTGCCAAGGTTGAGAAAAGCTGCTCTAAGGTATCCTGAGGAGAACGCTATGGCGCTATTTGTGTCTGTTATGATACCTCCTTGCTTCCCTTCCCACCAGCCTCACATGTCAATTATTTCCCTGATTGGTGTTATAAGATTGCACACAGATGATATTTAAGAGTCTCCCAAAGGTTAGGATTCCTTGGGAAAGATGTGTTTATTCCCCTGTTTCAAATCATTTTTGAAGATCAACTCACATAATATTTAAAGGCAGCAAGTGAGGAATATGCTGGAAACATTAAAGCATTATTTCTCTATCTTGGATCCTGGTTCACTTTTATTGATTACCTGGATGAAGGGGTTGAGGAAATGATTATCACATTTGCACAAAACTGGGAGGACTGGCTAACATTTTTAGAAGAGAAAGGGGGGATTCAAAAAGATCTAGGCCATCCTGGACAGGAAGAAACTTAGCAGGGAGAAATGGAAAGCCTTGCTAAAGAGACCATGTTGTTCTGGGATGAATTCACAGGATACAGTCCAGATCACAGGAAGTAATTGTCCTACTCTATTCTGCTTCATCAATCCCACTTGGAGTACTGTGTCCAGTTTTGGACACTGCAGTCTAAAAAGGACTTCAGAAAGCAAATTCAGAAAAGGGCTAACAAGATTGTGAGAGGAGTGGAAGCCAAATCCTATGAGGTATAATTAAAGGAATTTGGTATGTTAAATCTTCAGCAGAAAAGGCCGAAGGGAGATATAACAGTCTTTAGATATCTAAAGAGTTATCATTGTAAAGGAAGAACTGGACTTGTTCTCTGTCATCCTGTAGGGCAGGACCAGAATCAGTAGCTTGAAATGACAGGGAAGTTGACTCAGGTTAGATTTTAGAAGGATTTCCTAATGGTAGAAGCTGTCAACCACCTGGAATAGGTATCTCATGAAATGGTATGTTCCCTTCATTGTAGGTCTTCAAGCAGAGGTTAGGGAACTATCTGTCCAGAATGCTTTAGTGGACCCTACACTGAACAGGAGGTAGTATTAGATGACCTCTCAAGTCACTTCCAACTCTGTGGTTTTGACAGAAACTATTAAGAGTGCTCTGCCTATACATTCATGATATCTGAGCAGGCAAGGACTGACTTGAAGCCATAATGCGCAGCTTATGTCAGTCCCTTTGTAAAACAGGCTAATTCCATGCTTGGAGGCAGTAAAAAATGAAATTGAAAAAGGAACTGCTAATATAATAATGCCCTTATACAACTCTCTGATGAGACCACACTTGTGCTATTTGCTCAGTAATGATTTATAGTGACTTCCAGCTATCACTGGGCTGATAAAACTGTACAAAGAGAGGCTTTATATCACTATAGCTGTGGCTGGCCATGCTAGAAGACACCATAAATTACTAGTAAGGAAATGTCCTTGGTGTATTGTGTACAGTTCTTGTTATCACAACTGAAAAAGGATATTACAGAGCTAGAAAAGGGTGGGCAAAATTATGAGAGCGCTGGAGCAGCTCCCAAAGACTATAGTTATGCTGGAGAAGATGGACTAGCCTGATCCAACAGGGCTCTTCTGAGGTTCTGATGAACATTGGAATCAAGCATGTATACCCAGACATATATGTAAGCAATCAACTATTCATTTATACATTACCTTTCTTCAACTCACTGTAAAGGCAGATTTCAAAAGGTTAAGGTGCATTAAAACCAAATTTAGAACATGATAAATACCACAGTATAAAAGAGGCAGGGGGAAGAAGGACAAATGACTAAACATGTATTGTGACACAAACTTCACTCCTTATATATTTGTGTTTGCCGTTGCAAAGCAAATAAGAGGTGCTTGCAGCATCATGTCACAACACATATTTTGGCATTACTGCATCACAGTTAGGAACAGACACTTATGGCTATTACTGATATAACCCAGTATTTTGAAGTACTGTATTCAGTGAAACCTACTTTTCCATGACGGAATAATAGGAAAAAAGAAATGAACACAATGTCTCTTTCATGCATTGGCTATATTCATATATCATGCTGTGTCACAGTTTATTTTACCTATGGTTTATTCAAGAAGCCACAATTGCCACATTAACACAGCATGCTAAACCCCATAGCTAAGCAAACCACATTATGACATGGACCAGGCTGGTGGGGTGCATTTTCGAAGGGTGAAATCTGTACCTTAAGCCTTGATACTTTTTGCAACTCTGGCTTAGAATGATGGGCCAACACAGACACTTGGCACTTCTTCAACCAGCACAACTGCTTTCCAGACCTGCAGAAACATTGAAACTGCCAACTTCATGACAAGGACAAAGAGTCACTTATGGCCTCAGACTGCTGTAAATCCTGGAAAAGCAAAGCAGAACAAAAAATCTTTTAACTCTTGAATAGACAAGAAGAAAATAAAACAACTTGCTTATGCGTAGGCACACTCTCACACCCATACATGCACACGCCATATCTTTGTTGTTGTGTATTCATCTGGTTGTATAAAAAAAAAATCAGAGCAGTTTCTATGATGGAGATCTTAAACACTATCAATCCACCTTTCTCCTCAGAAGACAGGCTAGATTGGATATCTAAAGGCTCTGAGGCAGGAGGCAGAATGCATCAGAACTTCTTGTAAACTTGGAAATGGATAACCTGCCACCTCTATCAAGCTGCAATATTTCAAAGAAAAGCCTAGTTTTACTCCAGCACCAAATGAACTGCAGTTGAGCTCAAAATAAATTGGCTTAGCTGCTGAACAGAGATAACAATTCAAGATCACAGAGGTTCAAAGCTAGCATAGAGGCCGTGTGTGGAAATGGCTAATGTCTTGTGTAATGGCATACAAAAGCGAAGGCAGGAAGGCCGTTTCCCCATGCCCCATACTTTCAATCCAAAATGAAGAACCATACCCAACTTGGTCACGCAGGCCACAAGAGGACTTATAGAGAGGGGGAGTACGGAAGAGAGAATGGAGCAAGTGAGAAAGGAGGTGCCAGTGCTGTTGCTACAGCTCAGTCACATACTCCTCCACTGCTCCTCCATGTCAGGCACCTCCTCCTCCTCTCAGTTAGGGAAGGGATACTATCTCAGTGTTTTCAACCTCAGGAACTTTAAGAAGTGTGGACTTCAACTCCCAGAATTCCCCATGCTGGCTAGGGAATTCTGGGAGTTGAAGTCCACAC